TTTTTTTTTTTTTTTTTTTTTTTTTTTTTTTTTTTTTTTTTGTTTCTAACAAATTTGATTTTTTGGTAATATTCTCTTAAGAGATTATTACAGAGTGTAGCCAACTATGGAGGTCATGGGGTGTGATGGCAAGCACAAATTCCAAAATAATTGCAGTAACTGTTGGTGGTAAAATAGAATTTATTATATTTCTATCAGTTTTTTACAGTGTATTTATTGTGAAATATGGATATCTTATGAAGTTGTTATCCCTTCAAGGTCATAGTCCTGTTCTTGAGTTCAAAAATCTTCTTGATTGAGTCATTTTTTTATGTTTTCTTTTTTAATCAAATATTCATTTTTCACATATTGCCATTTTCAAGGTGTAACTTTCATGGGCCTAAGCACCTTTGGTAGTCACATTTTCTAAATATCAGTGCATAATTTAAAATTGGTGGTGATTATGCTGTAACACATTATGTAATATTACATCAAAGTTGAAGAAATTGTTATTTAAGGCACTGTCACCATAATGGCCATTTAAGGAAAATCATGTCACTCATGATTCTCAAACTTACTGAAAAGATTCATAGGACTGAAATGCAGCTTGAGTGGAAAACCAGGATGATTGCATTCTATTTTTCTGAAGCTGTGTAGTTCTTTGTTAAATTTTCATTTTCAACATATTGGTATTTTTAATGAGGGACTTAGATCTCCCTTGGGAATGAAGCCAAATAAATGTAATTACATTTTCTGAATATCCATGTTACGTATAGTAGATGATTAAAAATTGGTGGTGATAATGCTGTTTTTCATTAACTTGCAAGAACAATTCTTAGCATTGAAATACAACTCTAATTGGAAAGCCAGTCTGATTGGATTATTATTTTTTCTTGAATTATATTTTTATTCTCATCCTGGCATTTTCAAGACTATGCTGGTTACATATTCCTAATATCTGTGTTACCTGTTGTGCATTTTCAAAATTTGGCGTTGATTTTTTTGTAAATTATTTTGTAAAACTGAATTGAAATTGGCAAAATAACCTATTTTGTGCATCATTTTCTTTTTGTCTGTACATTTGACAGCTTTGCTGCCTTGTTTTTATTATCAACAGTTGTATTTTATATGACATACAGCAATAACCTTATCTATTCTGTTCAGAACAGTATTACAAATTCTGATCATGTCTTGGTTCCTCTACATATATTGGATAGTTACTTTACGTAATTTCAAAAAGTGGATGTTGTAGATATGATGGACTGAATCGCAATTATATTATGGCAGCTCCATTGCTCTAGAATCACGAGTCTTCTCTACCATAAATCACTAATATCATTCATGTGACATGTTTGTTGCAAAAGGGATTATTTATTTTCTGTCAAAGGTATGACAACACCAAACCTTTATGTGCCAAACTTGAGTTTCAAAAGATGTCAAAATGCTTCCCCAGGTTTTACATTTAGCATTGCATCTTTATTTATTTATTATAATTTTTTTTAATTTATTTATTTTATTATTTTATTTATTTATTTTTGTGTGTGTATGTTTGTGTCAACATAGGTTTAAAATGTAGATGAGAAAAAAATGGGAAGTGTAAGTCTATGATTACTGTAGGGACAATCTTAAAACTTCAAAGGGTCTCCACAAATTTAAGTTCACTAAAACAGCCTCACCACATGAACCGTATATAAACTGATGAAAGTGTGAAATCAACAACTAAAACCTGAGTTGTCTCCTTTGATTTAAAAATTTCAGAGTTTTATTTTCAGTTATATATGGTTGTCACCTTAATCTGCTGAGGAATATAAAAAACAATTTAAACTAGACTGCAACTGGCTGAAGCCAGTGGCGGAGGATTCCCCTGCAAAATAGGTGTGGAAATGCTCTTACAAGGTCATGTGAAGGTCATGGGTTAAATTTAGCCCCATATTCTGAAAGAGCATGTGCGAATTGGGGGAGTCAACAAAACATCACTTTTAGCCCACTTCAATATTTCTCCATGAAATAGCCAAATGACNTTTTTTTTTTTTTTTTTTTTTTTTTTTTTTGTTTCTAACAAATTTGATTTTTTGGTAATTACAGAGTGTAGCCAACTATGGAGGTCATGGGGTGTGATGGCAAGCACAAATTCCAAAATAATTGCAGTAACTGTTGGTGGTAAAATAGAATTTATTATATTTCTATCAGTTTTTTACAGTGTATTTATTGTGAAATATGGATATCTTATGAAGCTGTTATCCCTTCAAGGTCATAGTCCTGTTCTTGAGTTCAAAAATCTTCTTGATTGAGTCATTTTTTTATGTTTTCTTTTTTAATCAAATGTTCATTTTTCACATATTGCCATTTTCAAGGTGTAACTTTCATGGGCCTAAGCACCTTTGGTAGTCACATTTTCTAAATATCAGTGCATAATTTAAAATTGGTGGTGATTATGCTGTAACACATTATGTAATATTACATCAAAGTTGAAGAAATTGTTATTTAAGGCACTGTCACCATAATGGCCATTTAAGGAAAATCATGTCACTCATGATTCTCAAACTTACTGAAAAGATTCATAGGACTGAAATGCAGCTTTTAGTGGAAAACCAGGATGATTGCATTCTATTTTTCTGAAGCTGTGTAGTTCTTTGTTAAATTTTCATTTTCAACATATTGGTATTTTTAATGAGGGACTTAGATCTCCCTTGGGAATGAAGCCAAATAAATGTAATTACATTTTCTGAATATCCATGTTACGTATAGTAGATGATTAAAAATTGGTGGTGATAATGCTGTTTTTCATTATTTTGTAACTTGCAAGAACAACTCTTAGCATTGAAGTACAACTCTAATTGGAAAGCCAGTCTGATTGGATTATTATTTTTTCTTGAATTATATTTTTATTCTCATCCTGGCATTTTCAAGACTATGCTGGTTACATATTCCTAATATCTGTGTTACCTGTTGTGCATTTTCAAAATTTGGCGTTGATTTTTTTGTAAATTATTTTGTAAAATTGAATCGAAATTGGCAATATAACCTATTTTGTGCATCATTTTCTTTTTGTCTGTACATTTGACAGCTTTGCTGCCTTGTTTTTATTATCAACAGTTGTATTTTATATGACATACAGCAATTACCTTATCTATTCTGTTCAGAACAGTATTACAAATTCTGATCATGTCTTGGTTCCTCTACATATATTGGATAGTTACTTTAATTTCAAAAAGTGGATGTTGTAGATATGATGGACTGAATCACAATTATATTATGGCAGCTCCATTGCTCTAGAATCACGAGTCTTCTCTACCATAAATCACTAATATCATTCATGTGACATGTTTGTTGCAAAAGGGATTATTTATTTTCTGTCAAAGGTATGACAACACCAAACCTTTATGTGCCAAACTTGAGTTTCAAAATATGTCAAAATGCTTCCCCAGGTTTTACATTTAGCATTGCATCTTTATTTATTTATTATAATTTTTTTAAATTTATTTATTTTATTATTTTATTTATTTATTTTTGTGTGTGTATGTTTGTGTCAACATAGGTTTAAAATGTAGATGAGAAAAAAATGGGAAGTGTAAGTCTATGATTACTGTAGGGACAATCTTAAAACTTCAAAGGGTCTCCACAAATTTAAGTTCACTAAAACAGCCTCACCACATGAACCGTATATAAACTGATGAAAGTGTGAAATCAACAACTAAAACCTGAGTTGGCTCCTTTGATTTAAAAATTTCAGAGTTTTATTTTCAGTTATATATGGTTGTCACCTTAATCTGCTGAGGAATATAAAAAACAAATAATATTTACAGAGCACACTTGAAAGACAAGTTTCAAAAATGAAATAAGGTAAGTACTTTTATATGAAATATGATAAAACCTATGAAATACAGTAAACAGATCCACGTGTACTTGTATAATATGTAGCTTTCTCTTGTGCGAAAGAAACCATATAAGTAATGCTGATGTAGAGTCAGCGCAAAGAACAACAGAAAATTTTTGAGGCCCAATGGCGTGCAACCTTCAGACTTCCATGGAGCTATCAAAATCGGGTCTGAAACAAATACTGTTAAATGAACACCGAGATGTTTTAATGGAAGACAATGTCACCAATCCTTTCTCATTTTAGTCATTAAAGCCTTTCTGCAAGGAATGTGGTGGGCAAAAATATAGTCCTGAATTCTTAACACAAAGTTAATTCAACTAAAGATTAAACACTTCATAATAAATAAAAATGATCCATTGATGGTTGTTTTTGGTTGATTTGTGTTTGTAGCTTCATTTCATTTTTTCTCCCTTGGATACAAACTTTCCTGTGACAGCATCTCTCTGCACTGCCTTCCATGAGTAAACACAGCCATTCATTGCAATGTATACCCCTTGTCCATTTAAACACTGTAGAGCACCTATGGCAACTCCAACATTGAACTCTGCGTCTGAGTCTTTGAAAGTATCTGGCTTGAAAGAACCTGTGATGACGATGACTTTATGGCTTAAGTCTTCCTTCCTAGCCAAATATTCTGCAGTCTCTATCATGGTATCAGTGCCATGGGTGATAAGGATCTTGCTTTGTGGTGCTTCTCTGCAGGCAAGAAATATGTTGCTCCTTAAAGAAAGAAAAGAAATGAAATTGCAGTTATCTGTTAATGAAAACATCATTGACCTCATATGCATAGCAATCACTGGGATTTTGTTATTGTTTTAGACTTATTTTAACTGCCCTCCATCTCATTATGAACAGACCTTTTGTTACCATTAAATATCTTAGTCATAAATGCACACCTGTTTTGACTATCATTAAAATCCAAACAGTTTCAAGTTGTGCATTGATTACAAAATTGAAACTTTTAACAAAATCAAGGATCTGTTGTGTATGAACCTGTCCTCATCTGTTATGTCTTGGCTATCTTTGCGACAGACAGTTTGATATGTAATTTGGAAGTTTGTCTGTATTTTGTTGAACATTCTTTCCACTGCTGGCTCACATATCTCAAATGCATATCCCCCTAAAGTCCTAGGGTAGTCCTTGTCTATTGTGCCTGAGAATAAAAAATCAAGTGTTGGTTCTATTCAAAAGATGGTAATTTTGGTCATAAAAATAAACACTTAAACATATATTAAAAAGAGTTATTTATTTATTTATTTATTTTCATTTTTCTCGGTTTCAGTATGAATTTTAAAAAACTTTATATGTTTGGCTCTGTGACGTAGCAAAATATATATAAAAGGGCCCCCTTGTAATACAACTCTAGCTCGCTCTTTCTCTCTCTCTCTCTCTCTCTCGTGAACGTGCACACATAGTTGCTGCAAATCTGTTTATGTACTGCACCTCCAGTTTGAATAGCTAGTATAGTTGACATTTTTTTGTTTTTTTATTATTTCTTCTGATTACAACCGTACATGTATGCGAGAGCAGCCGCTGCACTACTTGACACGCCCACTTTTGTGGCTGGCGCCGCAGAATACAGTATTGGGGGAATTTACTCACGAGTATAGCGCTTTGGCGTGATGTGAACATTATATATAAATTTTAAAAATCCATATTATTTTATATTTGGTTGATTCAACGAGAAAATCTCATCCAACCTTGCCATTATTTTCAGATTTCATTTTTATTTCTGCGGGCTGAAACAAAATGGCGACCTCCATTCGTCGGCGAGAAACCGAGATGTTCCTTGTCGTTTTAATCATTTTAGGAATTATCCCAGTCCACAGTGGGACGAAGACCATTGAGCTTCAAGAAGATAATTGGAGCGACATGTTAGCGGGAGAGTGGATGGTTGAATTGTATGTAAAAGAAACCTACATCTAACAATTTATGTACCAATATGATTCCACTGACAGTACTTCGTAAATGAAACTGATGGTTGTATATAGGTTAGACATTGATACATATATTGGGGTTAGTACTTTTACATAAATTATAGTACAGCACAGTCACAGGTAATATTTTACACGGACACCAGAAATAACTTAGTCTATCAGACCATTCACATTAGAAAGTTAACCGCAGTCTAGTTAACTCCGATTGAATCGCGGTCAACTAAACTGAGATTATTTGCATTCACACTGATACTGGTGTCACGTGAAGAAACCGTCGTCGTGAATAAACCGTTCTGGCGGATTATTCACGCGGGGGTAGCAGTCAATTGACTTACAGTACGTAGCTGCACATGCATTTCCAACATTTCCCCGTAGAGAAAGTTGTAGTATTATCAAATACACGATTTCTTTTTAATGAAAATGACTGAACTCTGAATTGAAAGAACATTGTAGAATGAAAAGATTTATACTACGAGTCTTAGATCTGCCATGTTTTTTACACAGAGCAAAACAGTTCAGTCACGATCAAAAGCTCACTTCCAACATTCCCCCGTATACTGTAGTAATAAGATTATCAAATACATACTCTCTCATGACGAAAACCACTGAATTATGAATTGGAAAATCATAGTTCAGTGCAAACATAGCGCCTACTTAGGACGACATCGTCATACCGGAAGTTACTTCTTTCAATCTACCCTCAATGCGCATGTGCAGAACGGTTTCGTCACGGCACGGGTCTATCACGCCACACCGGCAGGGATCAGTAGTGATAGAATTTCAGCAATTGTACCTCCTGTTCAGCATGCGCTCTATTGTTCGAATAAGTAAAAATCCGACCCTTTGTATTTACTAGTATATTATTCTATTTCAGATATATGAGTTTACCGCATAATGGTGACAAAAGATAAGATACTAATTCTACATGTAGGCACAGCAATACCAATAACCTAAAGCCTATTTTGCAACAGACCATTTTATTCTTGGCACTTCCTGCTAATTTACGTTGTACCTCACTCTCTGACCATATGGCGAGGAGGCCCTTGACGGCATCCTCAGACCATGATACTCTTTTGCTGCTACTCATACTCAGAGTACTCAAATAGTTACGAGGATTTCGAAATCAGTTGAATAATTGCCCACTTGTGCACATGCGTTCAATTTTTAAACATCCGGTCTTGACTGCGATTCGGAGTCAACTCCGATTTAACCCAGCTCCCAGTCTGGGTTTATTTCGACCACAGTCAGGGGTACGTTGTCCGTTCACATTAGAAAAATTAACCGCGATAGGACCAAGGTCAGGCCTTGACCGTGGTAGAAAGTGCTAGTGTGAATGGCATAAATATGATATTGATAAATATATCTAAGCTAATACAAAAGGTTTATTAGCCTTGATCAACTGAGCATGGCATCGTTATGTCCCTGTTTTAGAACTCTTAGACCCCATACAGATGCCATCCGTCTGCTTGATTGGACCAACTCTTCAGGGACTCTCGCTAAGTGCAATCAGCTGTAAGACAAGTTGCCTTTTGGTTCCCATGTACTGGTGTAATCCCAGCTAACATGCTACCAGTGGGCCATCGGTGGCTATAAACGGCAAACAGCTATTGATGGCCCACTGGCGTACAGCTGGTGGTTAGCTGGTGGTAGATTGCGGTTTATAGCTGCCGGTGCTGCCCACTGGTTGGCCGCTGGTAATGTTGCTGGTGGTCCACTGGTGGCCCATCCGCAATTTTCTGATCGTAATTGTTAAAGGTAGATTTTTTCAAATACATGTACGCGTATTGTAATTACGTTACCTTTCCATTACGGCGGATGCGTTTTCAACCTTTGTTCACTTGTTTCAGAGTGCGCAATTTCCTAGCATTTTATTGGCCTATAAAAGTCACGTGACATACTGCATGCGATAACTGCTTTTCTGTATTCTACTTATTCTTCCAAGAGGAAGCATATCATTCAATTTAGCTGTTTGCAATCAGCGAGAGTCTCAACAGAATTGGATCCATCCATGTGGACCGATGGTGTCTCTGGGAATGGGTCTTACATGTTACGTATATAATTGTAAAATCCAATCATACTTGACCAAGGCAAACTTTTCCCTGAGACAAGATGTAGGGTTTAGACGAAAGCATTTATGGGTATCATGTTACTGTGTTGCTTCAGTCTCAACTCCACTTTAAGTTTTTTCCAGTAGAAAGTTCAGAGCAAAGTGACACAGAAGAGAAATATTTTAAGCCACACCACTCTTGCCTCTACTTGAACTATTGAAATGCTTTAAATTGCTCTGAGTAGCATGTAGGATTTTATGGGCCATTGTAGCTTTTGATATAATAGCTAGTGAATTCAAGAATTTTTGCAAATCTATGGCCTACTAGTAACCACACCAATCCATGTTAAATAAGTGTGCTAAACTAGAAATTGGGCTACATCATCTAAATCTGAATTACTTGTCTGTTTATACCAAAGTGTTTTTAAATATGAATCACTTTCTCATACTCTGGTACAGTGTGTCTGTCAGCGTAGATGTCTGTCACGCCTAATGAAGCTGCTAGGGGGTAATTAATTATCGTTTAGCAGCTTCAGTAGGCATGTCAAACATGTAAGCTGCTTAAGTTGATTGCAATTTAGCAAGAAACTCCTTGGGAATGGATCAATCCTATGAGATCGATCTAGATATGGAAACCCAGTCTAAAAGACAAATTAATATGTTTTTATACCCAAAACGATATCATGATCCTTTTGTCAGTTGTACATTTTATATTACAAATAATTTTTTGACAAAATTAATAAAGTTTTCTCTCTGTGTTTTGTATATTTTCACTCACAGGCAAAGTTCATAAAAGAATCTCATTTTTAACAAGCTTACAATTTTTGTAGAAAGTCTCTGGTCTTTTTTTCTTTTCTTTCTTTTTTTATTTAAAGCATTATGTAGGCAATTTTGACTTGAATTCGCTTTGACTTGTAAATTACAGTCATTCATCTCATATAATGTGCTTATAGGCATATACATTATATTCTTTAGAAATTGAAATAATGGCATAAAGAATGGCTACATGGTATCAGACTCAGTTTGTAGTAGTTAGTTGTTAAATAAGTAAAAAAAGAATTGTTACAGTACAATGAGTAGAATAATACTTCTATTTTTGATAGACATTCACTATTGAAACTAATGTCATTGCACCTAAGATTAGGTGACAGATAAGGTCTGTTGGCTAACAACCAGGCCAATTATTGTGCACAAACTGGGTGGGTGGCTGGGTGGATGGTACAGGCATACATGACTAGGTAGCTTATGTCTTGCAAAATTTCCACATTTTAGGTTAAAAGCTTGTTAGCTTGACTCTAGGATTTTTTAACAATAAAAATGCAACTATATTAGAGTGAAGCCAACATTTAGATTTTCACCACATTTTCATTTAGGGGGATAACAACTGTTCAGTTTGGCAACAAATGGATTTCCCTGGGGTAAAGGGCAATTTTCCCATTCTTACCGGTTATTGAATCCATTTGACATCCAAAGTTAGTCCCTTTTTTTTTTTTTTTTTTTTTTTTTTTTTAAGTCTGGCTTTTTGCAATATTCTCTTATTAAGAGATTATTACATAGTGTGTCCATCTATGGAGGTCACATGATGTAATGGCAAGTACGCAATGTTGGTGGTAAAATAGAATTTATTATATTTCTATGAGTTGTTTACAATGTATTTATTGTGAAATATGGAAACCATACGAACAGTTGTTATTCCATTCAAGATTATGTATGTTTTCTAATTTTGGATTTGCAATGTATGAGGAAATATTTTTTGCTGTTCAGCAATCTAACACTGATAGCTTGTGAAGCAAACTGCTGCTTTCTTACACATATGCCAACGCAATATGCCAACGAGACAGTAACTTTGCTAGACAATAAATCCTGTAGACTATTGGTGATTATCACTTACTTTTGCCAGATGTGGGCAACACTCAGTTAGCTAAAAGCTTCTTTTTTTCTGTGTGTTTGTGTGTGATTTAGTTGATTCCCTTGGTCTGTGTGTGTCTTTTAGATAGTGTATTTAAGTGCCTTTACACCACTATCAGAAGAAGGAACTCCTATGATTGTGTCCATGTTTGACAAGAAACCAAATTACTATGTTTCTTGACTGAAAATGTCATGGGTCAGAATTGAAATGATTACTTATAATATTGTGCTTTGTTATATGTGCAGATTGGTAAGACTGTTATCTTGTACAAGGACTTTTTTCCAGAATTTTTATGTCAAACTTGATTGATTTTTTTAAGCTACACAGAAATGTGAAAATTGGGAATTTTGTCAATCCTCTTCTTCAGTCCATGCTAAATGTACCTTTACAATACCCATATTTAAAGTTAAAGATTCACACATGCTGCTCCCTCCCCTCACACACACACACACACACACACACACACACACACACACACACACACACACACACACACACACACCACCTCTAACCTAATTTTACATAACAGTGACTATTAATAAATTCCATATTACGTCATATGAATATTTTATTTATTTACATTTATTTATTTATATTTTCAATATATGTGTATTTTTTTTTCAGAATTGATTATTTTATTTGAGTTAGTATTAATGATCGTTACAGCTATGCACCATGGTGTCCAGCTTGCCAGGCATTAGAACCAACCTGGGACCAGTTTGCAGGCTGGGGAAAGGATCTAGATATCAATGTCGCTAAAGTGGATGTCACACAAAATCCAGGTATTTCATGCACATTTGAAGCTAATGCTTCAAGATTGCTTTTTACCAAAATTTGAACTAAAGGGAAAGGTTCTTAAAAATTACAAATGGAGGCAGGAATGAATTGAAATCTGTAACATAGGTTCAAAAGTTTGATTCTGTTTGGCAAAAAAGATACAATGTTTTTATATATACATATATTATGTATGTATGTGTGTTTGTAAAGTATCAAAAATAATAGAAGTCAGAGTTTTTCAAACCAGCAATTAGCCTTATTTACAATTAAAAAGTTGAGTTTATAATTCATACAAGGACTGGTATTATTGAGGGTCCATATGTTATCTAGTCCCATTGATTGATTGAAAAAAATGATTTTTCTCAAAGGCAAATTTTTATCTAAGATTTGCCTGGAGATAAGAAAAATGGAATCTGATTTCAGAATTTGAAGGATTTCAGAGTCACTTTGTCTTAAATCAATGTCAAAGAGAAATTTGATCAGTGCATTGGTTTACCTTGTTAATGAAATTACCTTTTGTGTGGAGGACTGACCTTTTGTGACAGCAGATCATGCATGACAGTTTATACTATTAAAGGTAATTTTCCCTCTTAGCTGAGACTGATACTAGATTTTCCACTCTTTTTAACGATTCCAAATCTAAATTTACTTGACATTTTCTTTTCTTATCTCTTTATAGGACTGAGTGGAAGGTTTCTTGTCACTGCCTTGCCAACAATTTACCAGTAAGTTCAATAAGAACTATCGTTTGTCTAGAGGTAGAAAGTACTTTTTTGACAGTGGTTCCTGAACCATCTGCTTGGAATACCTTATTTAGTTATATTGGCATTTTATGTTACTATCTATGGTATATGCCTTGATATATATTTTAATACTTGTTTGCTCTAGGTATCTGTCTGTGATGGTTAATATATACTTCTTATATTTCACAATCCAAAAAACTGCCTGTCCCAGTCAGCTTTTGTTACCTACATATACTAGTAAAATGTAAAAAAAGTAGAGATATTTGACAAGCACATATATTTCCTTATCCATAAAGCTTTAGGAGCAGATGGGAAGTTTATAGCTTTTAAGATCGTCCTTTAACATTTCTATACTTAATTTCAGTGTTAAAGATGGAGTGTTTCGTGTTTACCTTGGCTCCAGGAATGAGAAGGACTTAATAGGTTTTGTAGATGACAAACAGTGGAAAGATCTGGATCCAGTACCTTGGTACATGTCCCCGGGAGCGCTACAGTAAGGATTAAAAACAACATAATCACACCCAGACCAGGACTAACTTAAAGTAAAAGAAGACTAATTGATGTCACCACATCAGATTGCTTTTTTTTTTTTTTTTTTTTTTTTTTTTTTAAGAGTAAAAAGACTCTGTGCATATTGTTTTTGTCTGGAAACATCTGTGATCTGTGAGACAATTTTCCAGCCTAAGTTAGTTCAGTTGTTGAGAAGCCTTTGTTGTAAATTTGGTCAAAATACAGGTGTAACTTTACGAAAATATGTTACAACAAAAATTGTAACAGGTCATGAAATGGCAAAAACTACACCATCAGTAAGGTCATGTTAAAATTGTAAGTCTTTACTATGTATGTTTTATATGGTATATTAATTGTCTTGTGCACAGTTAAACCAATCACATGTATTGATTGTATTGTTTTTTTTTTTTCAGCATGTCTGTCTTGAGCATGTTTTTTAGGCTATCCATGTTAGTTAGGGTGAGTATCGCACAGACAATTCTTTCCTGTTTGGTAAGAATGAGTAAACCAGTGTCTAAATGAAGCAATTCAAGGGAACAATAAATATATTTTCACTTTCCAGCATTACATTTTAAAGACGTTATTCGATTATTGTTAATTTCACAAATGAGAGGTCTGTACACTTCTTCGGAACTGTTAGGCCTGTAGCCAGAGATTTCAAAAAGAAGATTGTTTTGTTTTTTTTTTACCTATTTACCCTCTTACTTGGCCTAATTTGAGAAATGTCATAGAACCTAGGGCAATATTGATTTAGAACAGACCTTTTCTGGACAAAAGGGAAGTTAATTGAACATCTCCCCCCNAAGAATGAGTAAACCAGTGTCTAAATGAAGCAATTCAAGGGAACAATAAATATATTTTCACTTTCCAGCATTACATTTTAAAGACGTTATTCGATTATTGTTAATTTCACAAATGAGAGGTCTGTACACTTCTTCGGAACTGTTAGGCCTGTAGCCAGAGATTTCAAAAAGAAGATTGTTTTGTTTTTTTTTTTACCTATTTACCCCCTTACTTGGCCTAATTTGAGAAATGTCATAGAACCTAGGGCAATATTGATTTAGTACAGACCTTTTCTGGACAAAAGGGAAGTTAATTTAACATCTCCCCCCACCCCCCACCCCCCACCACACCCCCACCAAAAAAATCACTACAGGCCTGACTGTAGTGTGAACAACCTTGTAGACATGGCTTATGGCATAACCTATGTATAATTTAATTAGGACAAGTGAAAGTGCATTTGTAATCATTTTAGAACATGGAGATTGGTGCATTCTCTTGTGAATTCTCTAACATTTGACATTTCAGGATTGCCCTTTTACATGGCTTACATTTTACATGAACTCAGATTAAAAATAGATAAAAGAAAAAAATGATAATTGAGATTTTTATTTCATTTACTAGAAAAAACAAAAGTCATTTAAATGGTTTACAGCACTTTCAAGCTTTTAGAATCAGAGAGCATCTGATGATACAGATGTGTTTGAAGTCACCACATGCCCTGTAGAAAAAAAATGCCCTGGGGTTTTCTGTAGTTATACTACATACCGACCAGATGTGACATTAGAAAACTATTGCTACACCAGTATATTGATCTTTTCATAGAAAATTTCTGAAAACAAAGTTGAAACTGTCTGATTTCAACACTTTTATCTGAACCCTAGCTCCAAGCTTTCGATGACTAAGGATTGAGATGAGGTAGGCTTCAGAAAAAAATGCGTATAAATCAGTTTTAACTTAAAATGTTTCAATAACTGCACACTACTATACAGATTAATTTCCGTCAGAAGACTTGAGACTTTCCTCAATATTTCCAGACTATCCATAATAATATGACAGAGCTGTACAATGTGCCCACCTGGGGCTCCTACCTCCTGTTTGCAGTAGTCACCATCATGGCAGGATTGATACTGGGACTGGTGAGTGAGATGTGCTGGACCTGGACCTCTGTTTCTGTTAAAGAAATGCCTCTCAGTCTGTCCATCCAACTGTCCATTTATCTGTCTGTCTGTCTGTCTGTCTGTCCTTCCACTTTGACCAATTTAAGATGAATCAGTAGTAGGCCAGAAGTTGAATGTTGTAATTGTTTTATAACAAGACCTCTTAATCTTTAACTTAAGTGGATCAAGTATTTGGTTTAAATGTTCAGACCAATTTCTTTTGAAATCAACTCCCACACTCTGCATGAGGTGAAAATCCCTACATAGCTATAAAAACACTCCTCTACTGCAATTGATAATGACATGTATGCCGTTATGCCAATGACACTGCTGATACTGATACATTATATATGAAGTAATTAGTTGATGGAACCCACACACCAAGGGCATAAATGTAGTCTATAATGTACATAGTATATGAAGTATTAGTGTTACATCAATGATTATGTCTGTGGGGAATTATGTGATGCATATTATATTGGATAGGTCAGTTGATGTAAAGTAGGCTTTCAGGTACAAGTTGTCTACTGGCAAAGGATTGTTGTACTCTGTTGCTACTTTAGCAACGCTTTTGTTTAAGCTACATTGCTGAGTGTGAGAGTGGGACCTTTAGTCAAAACTAATGATATGAAACATGAAATGTTTATCCTTTTTCATTAGATAAAATAATCTATTTTGAAATTGATGTGCAAATTTGTTAGTGATATTGTAAATCTAGTAATTAATTGTGTGTGTGTTCTAGTTAATGTTTAAGCCAATATCCTTATGATTTAAATCTGTCCTCCAAGACTTGTGAATATGGAATTATATTACATGGACCAAAGCACAATTTGATCTTAGATCAGTTAAGTGTTCTGAGAACCTTGCAACTACCTTTTCCATTCCAAAACTAATGGTTCAGAACAGATTATATTAAATGTCAAAAATTGTATGCAACAAAAACAGTAGTAAAAAAAAAAAAACTCTTTCTCCCTCATCTATTTCAAGGGCCTGGTATTATGTTGTGACTGTCTTTTCCCACCAAGACCAGCAGTATACTTGAAAAAAAAAGATGATGACTATTTACCAGAGGACAGCAGTGGCAGAAACACCAGTGCTAATTCTAGGGTGGGTATATTTTATATTGCAAATTTTTCTTATAGACTAAGCTAACCTTTTATCTGCCTTCTCACATTGTGTTGTATGTTAGCATAATATTGGAACTTAAGCATTATGTTTTGAAAGGTTCTTCCTTGAAATTACAGGGGGCTTATCGCACTTTCACAAATTAAATTCACTTCTTACTATTTGGACAGAAGTTAAACCTGAAGCGAGGGCTCTTTAACAAAGTAAATAGTAAAAATATGACAGGCAATGAGGAAAGATTCTCTAGTTTTTGTTTATCAATTGGCAATGCCATGCGTGAGAATTCTGTTTGGGTGATTTTCTTGCATAACAGCCAGACTGTGAAACTGTCAGTTTCTCATAACAGAACATTGAGTGGAATGCTAAGATATACGTATAACGCTCAATAATGTAAAAATGTTGAACAGTTTCATTAGCTATTGTTTAAATAGACCAGTTAAGTTTCATTTGTCAATAGCTATAGCAAAAAATTAAAGGAGGGGCAAGGAGAAGAGGGGGCACCTGACTGAACCAGCACACGTGAGGGGTGATAGGTGGTAATACCTATCACAGCCCCCATTTCCCTGGTGAAGTCTGACTGTCAGCAGACAAAATATTGGCTGGTAAATATCAGTCAGTTTTTTTTTTTTTTTTTTTTTTGTAACTATTGACAAAAAACTTAATGGCCGATTCCGATTGTGTGTTTAAAGGCATTAATGATTTTTAACCTATANCACCCCCCACCCCCCACCCCACCCCCACCAAAAAAATCACTACAGGCCTGACTGTAGTGTGAACAACCTTGTAGACATGGCTTATGGCATAACCTATGTATAATTTAATTAGGACAAGTGAAAGTGCATTTGTAATCATTTTAGAACATGGAGATTGGTGCATTCTCTTGTGAATTCTCTAACATTTGACATTTCAGGATTGCCCTTTTACATGGCTTACATTTTACATGAACTCAGATTAAAAATAGATAAAAGAAAAAAAATGATAATTGAGATTTTTATTTCATTTACTAGAAAAAACAAAAGTCATTTAAATGGTTTACAGCACTTTCAAGCTTTTAGAAAGATCAGAGAGCATCTGATGATACAGATGTGTTTGAAGTCACCACATGCCCTGTAGAAAAAAAAATGCCCCGGGGTTTTCTGTAGTTATACTACATACCGACCAGATGTGACATTAGAAAACTATTGCTACACCAGTATATTGATCTTTTCATAGAAAATTTCTAAAAACAAAGTTGAAACTGTCTGATTTCAACACTTTTATCTGAACCCTAGCTCCAAGCTTTCGATGACTAAGGACTGAGATGAGGTAGGCTTCAGAAAAAATGCGTATAAATCAGTTTTAACTTAAAATGTTTCAATAACTGCACACTACTATACAGATTAATTTCCATCAGAAGACTTGAGACTTTCCTCAATATTTCCAGACTATCCATAATAATATGACAGAGCTGTACAATGTGCCCACCTGGGGCTCCTACCTCCTGTTTGCAGTAGTCACCATCATGGCAGGATTGATACTGGGACTGGTGAGTGAGATGTGCTGGACCTGGACCTCTGTTTCTGTTAAAGAAATGCCTCTCAGTCTGTCCATCCAACTGTCCACTTGTCTGTCTGTCTGTCTGTCTGTCCTTCCACTTTGACCAATTTAAGATAAATCAGTAGTAGGCCAGAAGTTGAATGTTGTAATTGTTTTATAACAAGACCTCTTCTTACACAATTTGTCAACTATCAATTAATCTGTAACTTAAGTGGATCAAGTATTTGGTTTAAATGTTCAGACCAATTTCTTTTGGTCAACTCCCACACTCTGCATGAGGTGAAAATCCCTACATAGCTATAAAAACACTCCTCTACTGCAATTGATAATGACATGTATGCCGTTATGCCAATGACACTGCTGATACTGATACATTATATATGAAGTAATTAGTTGATGGAACCCACACACCAAGGGCATAAATGTAGTCTATAATGTACATAGTATATGAAGTATTAGTGTTACATCAATGATTATGTCTGTGGGGAATTATGTGATGCATATTATATTGGATAGGTCAGTTGATGTAAAGTAGGCTTTCAGGTACAAGTTGTCTACTGGCAAAGGATTGTTGTACTCTGTTGCTACTTTAGCAACGCTTTTGTTTAAGCTACATTGCTGAGTGTGAGAGTGGGACCTTTAGTCAAAACTAATGATATGAAACATGAAATGTTTATCCTTTTTCATTAGATAAAATAATCTATTTTGAAATTGATGTGCAAATTTGTTAGTGATGTTATAAATCTAGTAATTAATTGTGTGTGTGTGTTCTAGTTAATGTTTAAGCCAAGATCCTTATGATTTAAATCTGTCCTCCAAGACTTGTGAATATGGAATTATATTACGTGGACCAAAGCACAATTTGATCTTAGATCAGTTAAGTGTTCTGAGAACCTTGCAACTACCTTTTCCATTCCAAAACTAATGGTTCAGAAGAGATTATATTAAATGTCAAAAATTGTATGCAACAAAAACAGTAGTAAAAAAAAAACAACTCTTTCTCCCTCATCTATTTCAAGGGCCTGGTATTATGTTGTGACTGTCTTTTCCCACCAAGACCAGCAGTATACTTGAAAAAAAAAGACGATGACTATTTACCAGAGGACAGCAGTGGCAGAAACACCAGTGCTAATTCTAGGGTGGGTATATTTTATATTGCAAATTTTTCTTATAGACTAAGCTAACCTTTTATCTGCCTTCTCACATTGTGTTGTATGTTAGCATAATATTGGAACTTAAGCATTATGTTTTGAAAGGTTCTTCGTTGAAATTACAGGGGGCTTATCGCACTTTCACAAATTAAATTCACTTCTTACTATTTGGACAGAAGTTAAACCTGAAGCGAGGGCTCTTTAACAAAGTAAATAGTAAAAATATGACAGGCAATGAGGAAAGATTCTCTAGTTTTTGTTTATCAATTGGCAATGCCATGCGTGAGAATTCTGTTTGGGTGATTTTCTTGCATAACAGCCAGACTGTGAAACTGTCAGTTTCTCATAACAGAACATTGAGTGGAATGCTAAGATATATAACGCTCAATAATGTAAAAATGTTGAACAGTTTCATTAGCTATTGTTTTAAATAGACCAGTTAAGTTTCATTTGTCAATAGCTATAGCAAAAAATTAAAGGAGGGGCAAGGAGAAGAGGGGGCACCTGACTGAACCAGCACACGTGAGGGGTGATAGGTGGTAATACCTATCACAGCCCCCATTTCCCTGGTGAAGTCTGACTGTCAGCAGACAAAATATTGGCTGGTAAATATCAGTCAGTTTTTTTTTTTTTTTTTTTTGTAACTATTGACAAAAAACTTAATGGCCGATTCCGATTGTGTGTTTAAAGGCAGATTTTTAACCTATATTAAAGNATCGCGAACGATCTCCCGCTGAAAATATGAAGATTGCCTTTTCTTCTCTCTCGAATCGCAAACGATCTCCCGCTGATAATCTTACGCGAACAAATATGAATATTTTCTTCTCGTCTCGTTTGAATCGCGAACGATCTGTTGACGATATTACGCGAACGATTCTCCCCTGAAGATATGAAAATTGCCATCTCGTCCCATTCGCATTGCGAACGATCTCCATGTACGAGTCAGGTAGTCGTTAAATGGTCCTAAACTGAACATGGCCATGAATAGAAGTGACGGGTACATTTCCCTTCGAGATAATATCTTGATTTTTTCATACTGTATTCCTCATTTAGGACAGCCGCCGATAACAATAACGGCGTTACAAATGACAGAGCCGCGGCCTGTGACTTCTATTTGCCGCCTTGAGCCAGGTAATAGTAATAAAACAAAAGACAAAAGGCCGACGTTCCCGCAATTGAGAACAGGAATTCACATCTAAACCATCTATATTGTGAATGACCGCTCGCAGGGGCACACTATTGTTCCTATCTCCCATTGAAAGTGTTATCGGCAATGATATCCTGATCGTATCATTGTCTTGAATCAACTGACGCATTACCTTTATGTTTGATCTGGACAACGCGGCCATATTTGGCGACAAACTTTTCAAAAATTATTNCTCTCTCGAATCTTCTATTTGTGACTTCTATTTGCCGCCTTGAGCCAGGTAATAGTAATAAAACAAAAGACAAAAGGCCGACGTTCCCGCAATTGAGAACGGGAATTCACATCTAAACCATCTATATTGTGAATGACCGCTCGCAGGGGCACACTATTGTTCCTATCTCCCTTTGAAAGTGTTATCGGCAATGATATCCTGATCGTATCATTGTCTTGAATCAACTGACGCATTACCTTTATGTTTGAGCTGGACAACGCGGCCATATTTGGCGACGAACTTTTCAAAAATTATCGAGTACCTCATTTTCAAGGTCGACGAAGTTTTCAAAGGGAAAAAAATTACGTCTGCGGAAAATCGTCGGCCGACGAAATTTTCAAGAACGACGAAATTTTCAAGACTTTACCGTATCTGACTCAATCACTCCATGTTATACATCCTCCATTAATAAAGCAAGAAGTGTTTTGCTGTTGCCATGGTGAATTGATTTTTTTAGAATGAGGAACATTTATTACACTTTAATTCAAGGAAGACTTATGACAAGAGGTTGTCAAAGTAAATTATCGACCAAAATTTAATCAAAATTTAATCAGAAATCTAAATTATACAATATTTTGTATTGAGTTCATACAAACTTGATAGCTTTTCATTTTCAATATTTAAAAGAGAAAAGAAATTTTGAGTTTGAATAAGGTACATGAATAGCTTGAGAATGTGATGTGGACACTTGTTCAAAAACACATGGTTTCACCCCTTCACCACACACTCTAACTCAAGGAAGAATGATGATAGATTTTTTTAGGGTGCATTCCATAAAGAATCTCCATGTGCCTTACAGAATATCTAGAATTATAAAAAGCACTGACAATAATGCAATAAAATGGCACTGACAATAAAAAGAATGCAAAAACTATCATATTCACTATTTTATACTTCTCACTGCATGGCTTCAAAGTTCAGACGTGTGTTTAAAAAATAAAAATTGACAAATTTTCATTGCAAAATTATTGTATCATCAACAATACTTCACTTTCCAGTAATGGATAATATTGACATTTTCGCAATACTTTGAATGTAAACAGTAGACCCTGTTACAAAATTGTTTTTCACTCCACACCATTTACAATATTAATTGTGGTTTTAAAAAAATCAGCAGAGTTAATTATAGTAATTTGTATCATAGTTTGGACAAAAATCAACTGTAAGTGAAAAGTAAATGTTTTTACATAGTTTTTATGTTTCTTCATCATTGACATGAGTAGCTTTTGGAATATTTTGTCTTATCGTTATTTATTTAGACAAATTTTAATTCATGTTTTTATTCATATTTTTATTAAATTAATGTACTACATGTTTATACATACATTCAAAAAGTAGTTAAATTAATCAGTGTAAAGACTGTATAAAACTGATTATTATCTTTAAAAATGTCCTCTAAAAATATGCTTTAAAAATATTTAACTGACTTCTGATATTTATATGACCTTTATTTCCATTTCCTAGAATGTAAAGCACACTACATTTGTTATGTTTGAATGATTTTGAACTTGTTAAGTCAGAACATTATGCATGATACAATATATGGCATATACTGTTGCTGTTAATGGATTGCACAAAAAAAATAATAATGATGCACTTAAAAGTTGCTGATGGGCCTTCCATTACTCGGGTAGTCCCTGGGAGCATGTCATTTGCGCCAATGCATTATTGACAATCTTTCAGAAAAGTGAGAAATCATATCTCAGACAGCAGTAAACACTGAGTTTGATAGCTGTGACATTTAAGAGAGATTTTCTTTGTATTACTGCTTAATACATTTATTTTTACCTTTCAAGGGAATCAAAGCACTTAACAGTGAACATTATCTTTTATACTCCAACTTCAGTGATGGACACTAGCTTAATTTATGGACATATTTGCTTGGTCTTGATTATAAATCCAGTTAAAGTTATAGAAGTATGCGTTAATTCTTCCATAAAAAAAACTTTCAAAATGTGTAATCAAATTTTTTTTTAGGATGATGAGTCTGACATTCCAGATGACACGTCAACAGGACAACCAGAAGAAAATTCTGTGAGACAAAGACATACAGAATCATCCTAGGAAAAAGAGTCCTTTTTTTTTTCATGATATGCACAGCTGCTCTTGGGACAATAGTACACTGTCAGATACATTTAGTTGAAAAATAAACGTAAAAAAAATAGGAATTTGTATCTCTGTATGGTGTATTGTTAGCGTGTTAGTTTTTATGCCTGCAATGGTTTAAAGGATTTACTGAATGCATAGTGATAATTAAACAAGCATTATTACAGAGAGGGGGATAATTTTTACATGGGTTTGAAACAGGATTGGGATTTTAATTTTTTTTCCCGGATGCTTGCCAAATTACAGGTTTCTTGAAGCAATATTCTGTATTAGATATAAGGTAAAAAATTGAAATATATTTTTATGGCAGTAGATAGTTGTGAAGATATGTTACATACGAATCACTTTTTCCTCACAGAGAGCAATTACAATGAACATATGTTTATAAACTCATAAACAGATTAGTTGTTTAATAACATGCAGATCTTTCAGCACCAAGCCCATATTAACCTGTAACCCATAAATTAACCAACACCGTAAAAGTATTTACCACTACCAGAGCAATTACTAGCACTAACATTCATCTGCTACGGTAGTGGTAAATACTTTTACAGTGTGTAGGTTAATCTGTGGGTTATGTGGTTAGTATGGGTTTTAGTGCTGAAAGATCTGCAGGTAGTGTTAGTAAAAGCTAATCCATTTATAAGGCCTGAAATTAAGGTGCTACATGCCCCCCCCCCCCCAACCTAGAGTTAGAAAGTTAGTCCCAGGGTAACATGCTGGCTCAATTGCAATCAGTACTATTAAGCTGCATTTTCAAAATAAGTCTGTCCAAACTTAGTACAAATGCACCCAGACATGATATATTGAACAAGTGCTAAATGAAGAGGGTTAATCAGAAACTCATTTTTAGCCGTTTTGAAACTAGCATATTATTTTTTAGTTATGAAATAGATACATCACCAGTCAGTGGGGTGTTTTTATATATATATATGTATGTGTGCAAAGCACACGCCGATGTCACATATATTTTACTGATGAGTGGTATATCTGACTAACATGTATACCATTGTGAATGTCAGGGAGATAAGACCTAGGTTTGACAGAGTCATATCCATGTATGAATTGCATGTATGGATAGTTTGCTCTCAATATCCATACAAATAAATTAATGAGGTATCATGTCCACGTATATAATTGTGTGTATATATATATGTAACAAGTGGTGGTATCCATGGAGTTGAACGAGGGGGTATTGATCAGAAAAAGCTTGCTTTTATTAGTTTTTTATGAGTAAGTGGAATTGATCGAAACTAACCTTCATTTTATAAAAAATAATGTCATTTTATGCCTTCTTCAGTTCTAATGCGCAGGTAAATTGGGCTCAGTTGGCCATATGATGATAATTTTGAACATACTGTCTGCTTAACATGCTATCTCAATTCTTTTTTGTCAAATGGTTTTATGCATCAAATGCTGACAATGTTAAGCTACTTGAAAGTGTTTGTTGTTTGTAAATGATTTAAACGTAATTTCTGTAGTTATCAATATAGCATTATATTCTGTGGCATAATTGGCTCCAATCAAAATGGCATATTCCTGTTCTTTTTTGGAACAAAACTTTATAAGTCTTGATAATATTAATAGCAAAAATTTCAGTTGTAAATTGATATTTTGATGTTGTTGTTAAATCAAATTTATTAATTTAATTTAAGATCCATTTGAACTCAATTTCTTGCTACCAAAGTCAACCAAATGACACCACAGTTTCAAATAGTCTAACTTGGAGAAATACTGAAAGACATTGTTATGTATTACCTGATATAGGGATATTTGAACAGATTTTCTGCTTGCTTGCTGTGCTGTATAAATAGATAAATAGGTCAGATAACTAAGGCAAATTTATGACCACCAATTTAAAGTTCTTTTATGGCTGATTGAATGATTAATTTAATTTATTTGAGTTATATAAGAAACTAGTAGAAGTGGTTTATGTGAGTTAATCCCTGCCCCATTGATGCTTGGTTCATATGTACCTTAAATTTCATTTTATCAGTGATTATAGCTTGTACCTACAGCAGAAGTAACAGAAATGAAGCTCTGACTTATATAAGTTTTTTTAAAGCTTGAGAGCACAATGTTTTCCAACCTAATCAAAATGTTGACCTGAATGGATGATAACATCAGAAGAAAAAATGATCACATATTTCAGGCTTTTTAGCTAAAAGAAGTTCCAATTACTATTAGCCAATGGCAAACTTTGCCACTATTAATTTGAGATAGGAAGTTGTTTTACTATACATGCCAGTGACCAATTTTTGGTTGGACTGTAGTTTCCATGATATTTGCCAGGTACTTTTTCCAGAGTTACTTGTCACAGGTTTAAAGAAACTTTATTCCGTGTAAACGTTTGTGATGATGGGCAGTTGGCCTGGTGGCATCAGTAAATCATCGGTAGCCTGAATAAAAGAATCCTTAATAAAAAAATAATTTTCTTTTAATTGTTAGTTTAATTACTGGAAACAAGAAAACGGATCAGTCCCACTCCAAGGTTTTACATATTGCAATCTGTTGATCACATTACCTTAACATCTGGTATGTTCTAGATATGGGGATGTGTTCTTAATGGGGTCACTGAAAGTGGGAATGTACTCTGATTGGCCAATTGACCTACGTAACATTGTTATTTTTCAGAAAAACATTCTTAGTTCACTGTAAGTATTAAATGGCATCTAAGCTAGAAAAGCAGTTCCATGAATAATGTTGTTTGGTTCTATCAGAGCAGTAGAACTGTTAGATTTCTGTCATCTTAGTAATGGGGACATCCTTATATTCGGAGGGTTTATTGTATTTTCTGAAGACTGTAGGAACCAAGTTAAAAAATTGGCTGCTGTTCCGAGGGCCCAATATGACAAAGGGAAGAGGGTCCGATATTCCAAATGCTTCTTAGTCCAAGGGTCCACTTTTCCAAAAGAGGTTATTAACTGCCATGATATTGTTCTTGAAATTAATGGAGGTGGCACCAAGTCTCAAACTGTAGGAGATTTAGTTGCTTATGATGTCAAATTATTTTTTTCACCCTGTTACATGGATATTAATACAACGAAAAAAAATTAATTCGCCCGACGTAATTCATGTAGGATTGTAAATGAATTCTACTCGTGCTTACCTATATTCGTAGGTATGTTTTTTTATTTATTCTTCACCACATTTGCTGCTTTCTCTACTGCGCCATTTTGTTGTCATCACTCATATACTTTGGCTCATATACTTTGGCTCATATATATGTATATATATATATATATATATATATATATATATATATATATGCTTTTGGAATATAGCCATACATCCTTAATAGTCTGCGGCTTAAGAAACTGCACTCAGACAATGTATACTGTGTTTAAGAGTGAAGGGATTTCTATTTAATTTATAAAAAAACCCTACCAGAGGTTTTTTTTTCATAAAAAGGATACTGAATATAGTTCATCTAGCCTCCCTCAGGGAAAACCAGATAATAAATGTTTTCAAGATTTCTTGCCAAAGGAAAATCTAATTATTTTTTACCCATTGGCAAGTATTGAACATGCCTTTTAATGATTGAAAGTGATAAGCAAATGAAGCTTCTAAATAAACTCATTGTAGTGCATCTGCTTGTAGGTTTCTGAAGTTGCAACTTTAATATAGTCTTTGTTGTTGCAATTTCAGTTCAATGGCCTAGTGCATTAGACTAATTTGATTTTCATAGTTACATACTCGAGGAGGCAGTGATGATGAGCCTGTTTGAGGCACCGTTGTATCTATCAAAGGCTCATCAAATATGTTCAATATATTAATCTTCAAAAAAGTGGATTTTAAAATGGAAAATTGTATTAATCTTATCACTGCATAAAAACAGGTTGAAAATGTTTTCTCTGTACATTGTTGTATGTAAACAGACGCTGTTTCTAAACGTTCTGATCACAATGTCTGTCCGTGTTAGTGCCATGCTCCTTGCTGTCGCATTTTTGTTTTAATTCACATTTTAGGCTTTGTTTGGTAAAAATGCAGGTTCCTGAAAATCGGTATGATCAGTTTTTTTTATGAAAGTTTTTCGACGTTCGCCCCATACGTTGTGTTTTGCAATACAATTATCCAGTGTTAGTAACCTTATGCTTTTAGCTACAAGATATGTAAGGAAAACTCGGATGTATCACTTTTTGCTTGGATGAAAGATTCCCAAGTCTGAAATAGCTCGTGGTTTACCAGAAACGATAAAAATCAGTTCCACTCAAAGCAATTTGATGTGCTCTGCAGCTTTCATGATATTTATAAGATACCTTTTTTTAATTAACTGGCTTTTAGGAATCAAATTCTACATAAATTGCACGTTCTGATTGTAGTAGGTTTCTTGGCATCGATTTATCACATCTTGTTTGAAAAAAAAGATCTTAAATCTGAAGTAGCTTTCATTTAACTCGTGATTTTCCCAGAAACGAGGAATAGGGATCAGTCCCACTCGAAGTGCTCAGAGCTTATCATGCCAAACCGCCTTCATACGCACTGTGCTCGCACCTATATCGGTGTGATGTCAATCCAAGTGGTATGGATAAATCTCTGTATTTTCCAGGAACATTGTTACCCGCAATACATTGCAAAGGTACTTTTTGTTATATAGCCCATGGTACCTTAGAATGCACTTTCAAGTTACACCCAAGTGATATTCTTTTGGGTAGGGGTGGGAGATTGTTGTTGGAATAAAAAAATAGGTGCCAGAGGTTGACTTTCTTCTAATTTTGGCAACAGTGAGAAACGATGTCCCCAGGGTCTTAGATATATTAACTCCACTGAGAATTAATGCAGCAGGGGCTGCTCCGGTAATTGGTTATAACAGCTTCACTACGAGAGCCAAACACTTGCAGTGCAGCAAACCTACATGGAGAATGTTTTTTTTTTTTCGTATTTCAGTATAGGTGACAGCGTGATATCTGAACAATGATATTCCTATTATCAGAATTTTGCCCTACTGTCACTTACGTGCACTCCAAGATTAATACGTTGGCTTGTTTCTTAGAGATCCTGTCAATAATAATGACGGGGGAAGCGTTTAATATCCACATTTTTATCATTTTGCCATTAAACAGCTCTCCGTAATAAGCAAGTTATAGCATTGGAGATGAAAGAAAAGAGGAACTGCTTTAGAAACATAGTAATCTACATTTATTTACTGATGTGCCTAGCTCTACGTGTGGTACTTATCGTGCTTTTACTTACGTTTGATTTAGTAATGAGTTGATTTGTTTGTGTTGGTTAGGAAGATCCGATTGAATGAGCGTAAGATTGATTTTCAGATTGTACAAAATCGTCCAAGTGTTAGGACTTCTAACTCGGCAGGTGGCTTAGTTAACACACGTTATTTATTTAGGAATGAATGCCAGACAAGTGTCCTTTCATTTACTTATTATCAGTTTCAGTTAGTGATTGGTACTTTCATGCATTACCAAAGACGTCTTCAGTCCACAGGAATTTTAATCAAATTTTAAAGGCATAGATAAGCAGATGGTATGATAACGTGTCTTGTTCAATAAGAATTGGTGTGAAAATGGGAAAATATGAAAAGTGAAGCCAATTCCGTTCCTGTTGATTAAGCAAAATGCTCCAGAGGATGATTAGCGTCTTGGTTTAATGCCCTGGTGTAATTACCATTAGACAAGAAAGAAGGATTATTCATGAAATACTCACTGTTGGGAAACTGAACAGCCCTAGTGTTTTATGGCAACGGCTTCCATTTAAGCACCCGCCAATTTACGAAGAGATTATTATGTCTATTCAATCATTTCGTCAATCTCGCCCCTTTGATGAAAAGCCACGGAGTTCTTATATACCCCGGTGGTCCACATTCCCAGCAGACAGGTTAATCTGCAGTTAATCTACGCTTCTTACTGTAACGTCGCCAATAATTATAGCTGCACTCAGATAGTTTCAATTGCATTTATCATATTGCCGCGACACTGTACGTTAGCAAGTGGGGTATAATAGTAGCGATACATGGTGTTCTGTAACGCAAACGAGCAAAGAATATTTTGAAGCCAAGCTCCGTTTAGTGGTCATTATTGTGCACGCAATTGCCATTTTCCAATGAAGTTCAAATGTAAAAATTATAATTATCATTATTTCCCAGTTAGGATGCAAAGATGGATGTACTGGCTAATTTCTTTTATTTTCAATATTTTGATGCATTGTAGTGGTTCCTGTCGACTGGCATATCAAAACGGAATGGTTCCTTACCACACTTTGCTTACCAGATAAAATGGGGTGTCACCATTTGAGGGACATCTATTTTAAAAATACTATAAGAATAATTTTCATTTTAATCATAAGTATTATAATAAAAAGGCATAACACATATGGTATAACTATTAAAATGTTTAGTCGGCTATGTTGTCCATTCCAATTTCATTCCGGTCACACCGTGTTTCGGAGCTGAGGGGCATCTATCTTTCCAAATGTTTCAGTCGGCATTGTTTTCAATGTGGGCACAGTACTTGCATAATTACCAAATACAGGTAAGTACCATGTGATATTTGCTCCTTTCTCACATATCGACGGGAAGAGGAACAAAACCTGTGAAGTAATTATGCTGAAAATCATGATAGTTGTGTCTAGGTCACTTACATATTTTATATAAGACGAAATTGCTAACTAATGATCATGCAAGTACAATTGGTTTGAGGTGTTAATCTGCATTATGCAAGGACGCTACATGTAGGCCAAGTGGCATTATTGATAAAGTGACGTTCCTGTAAAAATGAATCTTCGTTAGCAAGGTAACCAAGATACCGGTGGATGGCCGATGTGGTCGAAATGGCATATGGCCGAAAATGTGGACCGAGCGTTTACGCCCCCTCGGTGCAGTGCAAGGGGTCAAAGTGTACTCACTATTGCCGGTCACCAGCTGCTAGGCAGTGCAGCGTTCACGTGGGACGTGTTTGTATAACAAGGGACAATTTCTATGAGTGTCAGAAAGAGATGGATGTGTTTCATCGAGCATAGCATGTAAACATGTTCATTGTATGTCTACGACGATAGAAACGGGCTTGGTTTTATATCTATGCACACAGTTCAGCGACAGAATAGAAAGCAGAGAATGCCAATTACCTGACCACAAGACGTACTCGTTTCTGTTACTTTTTGTAACAATTGTTTATTTTGTGTTTTTCCATTGACTCGTTTGCACTATATTTAATTAGATACGACGAAGATGGAAAAACGTAGTTATTTTAAATCTTAAAATGAATCAGTCGCTGAAAGACTGAAAAACTGAAACTGTAATTTATGTATTCAATCAGAAGAAACAAAACCAAAAGGAAATTAAAATGTCATCCTATTCTTGCAAACGAAATTCATATACAAATCCTGTAGTTTAATATATCTCATTATGATATACTCCATTCATTATTTCTCCTCAAGTAAACTCACTTGTGTCTATAAACGGGTTTAACCCCAAGAACGCCAACCTTAT